GGAGGTGGGGAAGAAGGTCCAATATACAAACTGAAATTTCGTTCTTGAGATAAATTTAATGCCTAAAACTCTAATTAAGGTTGGAAGTTTCTTATATATTTAAAATCACTGATGTTTGAGAATGTTGAGAGTTCATATCCCAAACTATGGCCCAAAATAATGTTATCCCTTGGACTATCACTAAGCCCTTTGGGGAGAGAGGGAGATAGACTGCATGAGGGTGCTATGCATCAAGTACTCTTGAACAATGATTAAACAAGTCAAATGAATAATATACTATGGATTTTTTATATCCTTTAATATATAAATCTTCATTAATACATAAACTATAAAGCTTTAGGGGTTGGAGCATAAGGGAGCATGTGAGCTATATCAGCTCAGTTCAGTCACTTAGTTGTGTCCGACTGTCTGCAACCCCATGGACTGCAGCATTCCAGGCTTCCCTATCCATCACCAATTCCTGGAGCTTGCTCAGACTCATGTTTATCAAGTCGGTGATGCCATCCAACTATCTCATCCTCTCTCGTCCCCTTTTTCTCCCACCTTCAATCTTTCTCAGCATCAGGGTCTTTTCCAGTGAGTCAGTTCTTTGCATCAGGTGGCCACAGTATTGGAGTTTCAGCTTCAGCATCAGTCCCTCCAATGAATATTCAGGACTGATTTCCTTCAGGATTGACTTGTTGGATCTCCTTGCAGTCCAAGAGAATCACAAGCGTCTTCTCCAATACCACAGTTCAAAAGCATCAATTCTTCGGTGCTCAGCTTTCTTTATAGTCCAACTCTCACATCCATACATGACTACTGGAAAAACCACAGCTTTGACTAGACAGACCTTTGTTGGCAAAGTAATGTGTCTGTTTTTTAATATGTTGTCTGGGTTGGTCATAGCTTTTCTTCCAAGGAGCACGCCTCTTTAAATTTCATGGCTGCTGTCACCATCTGCAGTGATTTTGGAGCCCCCCAAAATAAAATCTCTCACTGTTTCCATTGTTTCCCCATCTATTTGCCATGAAGTGATGGGACCGGATGCCATGATCTTAGTTTTCTGAATGTTAAGTCTTAAGCCAACTTTTTCACTCTCCTCTTTCACTTTCATCAAGAGGCTCTTTAGTTCTTCACTTTCTGCCATAAGGGTGGAGTCATCTGAGTATCTGAGGTCATTGATATATCCCCCAGCAATCTTGATTCCAGCTTGTGCTTCATCCAGCCCGGCATTTCGTATGATGGACTCTGCATATTAGTTAAATAAGCAGTGACAATATACAGCCTTGAGGTACTCCTTTCCCAATTTGGAATCAGTCTGTTGTTCCACATCTGGTTCTAACTGTTGCTTCTTGACCTGCATACAGATTTCTCAGGAGGCAGGTAAGGTGGTCTGGTATTCCCATCTCTTGAAGAATTTTCCAAGTTTGTTGTGATATGGTATGCAGCAATTTTTAAACTTATTTGAATATGAAACCTTTTGTAGGGTACTTATTAAGATCTCCTTTATATAATTGTATAGAATGAAGTCTGTAAATGACACCATAAAGAATAACTTCTGTACTCAATATCATTTAACTTCAATAAACATCTGACTTTCTTCCCTCACTTATCCAAATCTCAGAGCTAGAGGCATTGTATTCCTACCTATATATTTAGCAGCTCTTCTGACCACAGAAGCTAATGCTTTTTCTAGTCAAGGGTCGTTTAAGCAAGAGCTCAAAGTTAAGTCAGAGCTGCTTGAGATTTGCAACGACCCTTGCTCCTGGTCTGCTAAGAACTTCATATCCAGGTTCTGGTAACCAGGTCTGTATGGTGTAGCCCGGTGCTTGGCTCCTTGTCTTGTTCCCTAGCACAAACTTATTGGCTGTAACTTGGGTTTGGCTCTCTTCTCAGCCGCCTCCCAGGATCTGGAGCCCTGACTCTGAGACAAAGTTTTCATTTATAGGTCTCTTGTTCAGATACTAATTTCAGTATCTCTTAAAAGTAGTTTGCTTTTGATAAAAAGAATCTATAGAGATAAGAAACAGAGCAGCTATTAGAAGGTAAAGCATAATTTCTAGGTGGGAAGAAATGGGCTGAAATAGTTGAAGAAGTTACAGACATTAAAAATGCTGATTAAATCATTTGGACTGAGCATTTTGTTAGTTGGCTAACTTTGTTAACTGACTGCTTATTTCAATAAGACTGGGACATTGACTCAATTTAGACAAATAAGTGAATAATGACTGGGTCATTCATTTTGTTAAAATAACACAACTAGTCCACCTAGCCACAGTGATTTCATGTCATACCAACACAATGGCATTAGTAGACTTTTATTATATTAGATTTTTCAGGATGTTGAAATAATAAGAACTCCTAAATTTAGAAAAACTTGAAATGAAAATTCTTTCTCAGTTATTACATGAAAAAGCATCAATAATTTAAGCTAAGTGAATATAGTGTTAATTTAGATACATACTGTGTCATTGTATATTTATAGAAAACAATTTTGCAATGTTTTTATTTACAATAAGAATTTTATCTGATGATATTAATAAAGTATATATAAGGATGAAAATAATTTCACAGTCTCTATAGTCTTTGCCAGCTGGTTCATTTTGTTTAATATGTGAAATTAAAAGGACATACCAAACAACTCTACAAATCGTAATTTCAAGTGATGTAAGATAGTAAATAGCAAGGAGTGTACAGCCTTGGTTATACTGAATAATAACTCTTGGTGTTGATGCGATTCAACAGAACAGGATGAGGGTTCCCCAAGTAAAATCATATTGAGTGGATTAGTCACACTCAAATTTTTAATGAATATTTATCAATATATACCAGAGTCAAGGATTTCAGAGTCTTATTAAAAACAGGAAATCATCAAAAGATCTAAAAATATTCCTGAAAAAAAAAAAAACTTTATATTTACCAAAGGGAAAAATAAAGGCAAAATGTCAGTACAATTCTGTACCTCAGGACTGCTAATACATGCCAAATTAAACTATTATCCCTGTGAGTACTCTACATAAGTTTCAGTATGTTTTCAATTTTCTAGTTTCCTGTGTTTCAAAAGAATGAGTTTTATTATTGGGAATCCAAAACTGTACAACATTTAGCAGTTTGAAAGCAGAGCTAAACAATGAAAATGAAATGAAGTATAATAGCTTTATATAATTTTAAATGACTATATGTAAGAAGACACTATAATGACTGAAATATCAGAGATATCTAGTGAATCTAATATTTCAATAACTCAAAAAGCAAAAAGCAAGGGAACTCACAAAGAAAAGTCCTCCATGATGTGAGAAACAGAATGCTATCATATACATGAGAAAAAGCTGAATTTTTAACAAGGTTCCACACAGCCCAGCTTAGACTGGCCTCTGAGTAGCCTCAGCCTCACTGCACTCCCTCCGTTCCATGCCGCCTCCATTCCCACAACACTAACATAGTCCCCCTTATGTGCATGCTCCCAGTCTGCTTTCTCTGCCTAAATCTCTGCTCTCTACTCCACTACTGTACTCCTCATATCTATGAATAAGGTTTGTTTTCTCTCATGTAGACTAAGCTTTATGACATCAGGGGCTGTATCTAGTTTGCTCAGCATGTAAACATAAAAGAAAGATACACGAATGGATGAATCAATGAGTGTGGGCAAGTCATAGTCAAAATTACTTATTCTCAACAAAACACTGTATCTACTATGCATTTCCTTAGATGATGTGAAATCATATGGTAGTCATACAATGAATGCAAAATCTACTGAGAGGCTACTGCAAGAGATACAGAGGAAATACCATTGTGATGGACTGACAAAAATGTTTGAAATCCAGCAGATGCTTAAAACTGAAAACAAGTAATGAAGTCAGGCTTCCCAGCTAAGTTTAGTTGGATATAAGGGTTAATTATGCTACGGTAACGCGACCATAAACACAAAACCCAATGATAAATAAACAAAACAATATCACTATCAACTGTAAAATGGATACTTTTATGCAAGAAATTTGAAACCTCTCTCCTGTCAGGCTCAGTTTCCTCAAGGTATAGATTGTGCCTGTCTTGGCATCCTCTTTGTCTATATCAGAATCCTAAACTTCATGCTCTTAGGATACCTTTACACTTTCAAAAGTTCTTGAGGACTTCAACAGTTTTTATTCATGTGGACTATATTTGCCATATTCAAAATAAAAACTGAGAAAAACTGAAAATATAAGAAATAATTTAAAAATAATAAAGCCAGTATATGTAATAACATATTTTTCATAAAAATCATTACATTTCCCAAACAAATATTTTGTGAGGGCAATGTTTCGCAAATCTGTTTGATGCAGACTTTTTGCCTCAATGAAATGTTCGTTATCGTAACATCTCAACTCATGACAACCAATTTGGAATGTTTGTCTGAAACATTCAGCAGGACAGTCTGAACCAAAAAGTGAAAAACAGCACAATTCAGTGTATAATTCCAAAATCTAAGAGAAATAAGTAGATGACTAGAGACATTTTACTTGAAAAAATATCAAGCAGAATCAAGTCAAATGGCTAAGCTGAATGTTCTGAGTCTCTTCAAAGCAGTAAATTAGATCAAAATACTTTAGTGAACACAAGCTGGATTCTAGTATTTTTTAGCATCCTACATGCCATTTCTCCTAGAGAAGGGCATGGCAACCCACTCCAGTATTTTTGCCTGGAGAGCCCATTGGACAGAAGAGCTTGGCAGACTGCAGTCCATGAGGTTGCCAAGAGTCGGACACGACTAAATGACTAAGCATGCCACTTCTAATTAATCCATAAAAACCACAAGAAAAAACTTTGCTGTATTTTTAGCACATCTGCTCTAAATACTAATAGGAATTAACTAAATACCAGAGAAAATGTATTGATCCAAATACTTTACAAGCTCCAAAATCATTATTTTTGTTCTAAAACTAGCCTGATGTAAATTCAGAAATATAAAAGATAATTTGAAGACTATGTAGATTGTTTTAATGTCATATCACTACTTGGCAAAGAATAAAATGACTTACTTTTCCTTTTCTTGAAGCTGTTGCTCCTGAGAGGCCATTTTAGGTTCTGTCCCCAGATTTTTTTGCATCCGCTGCCTCCTCTTTCTACTTGGTGCAATATCAGGGATATCAGGACTTGAAATAATGGAATCATCTCTTCTTACAGTAGCTAAAACAAAATCACATAAAAATTATGCATATTTTTGAGTTCAGTATCAATTTGCTGCTTTAGCACTGATACAATGTGACACAATTAAAATAGAGCAAAACTATTTTTATAAATTTATTCAGATTTCTTATCTTTGACAAAGAATATAAAATAGGGAAAAGACAGTCTCTTCAATAAGTGGTATTGGGAGAACTGGACAGCTAATGTAAAAGAATGAAATTAGAACACTTCTGAACACCACACACAAAGATAAACTCAAAATAGACTAAAGACCTAAATGTAAGACCAGAAATTATAAAACTCTTAGAGGAATACACAGGCAGAACCACTCTCTGAAATAAGTCAGTGGGATCCTCTATGACACACCTCTTAGAGTAATGGAAATAAAAACAAAAATAAACAAGTGGGACCTAATTAAATTTAAAATCTTTTGCACAGCAAAGGAAACTATCAACAAGGTGAAAAGACAACGCTTAGAATGGGAGAAAATAATGGTGAATGAAACAACTGACAAAGGATTACCTTCTAAAATACACAAGCAGCTCAAACAACTCAATACCACAAAAACAAACAACATAATCAAAAAGTGGGCAAAAGACCTAAACAGAAATTCCTCCAAAGAAGACAAACAGATGGCTAACAAACACATGAAAAGATGCTGGAAAGATGTTCAACATTGCTCATTATTACAGAAATGAAAATCAAAACTACAATGAGATACACCTCACACTGGTCAGAATGGCCATCACCAAAAAAATCTGCAAACAATAAATGCTGAGGAGGGTGCGGAGAAAAAGGAAACCTCTTGCACTATTGGTGGGAATGTAAACTGATACAGTCACTATGGAAGACAATATGGAGATTCCTTAAAAAAACTAGGAATAAAACTGCCATATGACCCAGTAATCTCACTACTAGGCATACACCCTGAGGAAACCAAAATTGAAAGACACATGTACCCCAATGTTCACTGCAGCACTATTTACAATAGCTAGGACATGGAAGCAACCTAGATGCCTAATGACAGATGAATGGTTAAAGAAGCTTTGGCACATGTATGCAGTGGAATGTCACTCAGTCATAAAAAGGAACACATTTGAGTCAGTTGTAATGGGGTGAATGAACCTAGAACCTATTATACACAGTGAAGTAAGTCAGAAAGAGAAAAATAAGCATCATATATTAACACATATATATGGAATCTAGAAAGATGGTACTCATGAACCTATTTTCAGGGTAGCAATGGAGACATAGACATAGAGAACAGACTTATGGACACACAGGTGGGGAGAGGAACGACAGGGTGGGATGAATGGAGAGAGTAACATGGAAACAGATACACTATCATATGTAAAACAGAGAGCCAATAGGAATTTTCTGTATGACTCAGATAACTCAAATCGGAGCTCTGTAACAACCTAGAGGGGTGGGATGTGGTGGGAGGCAGAAGGGAGGTTAAAGAGGGAGGGAACACAGGGATACCTATGGCTGATTCATGTTGAGGTATAGTGGAAACCAACACGATATTGTAAAACAATCATTCTTCAAGTAAAAATAAATAAAAAAGATTATTTGATTTGATGAAGTGAGTAGTTAGTATGTAATATTTCAATACCAATATAAAACCTAAAATATATTGTATACATGGAACAACTTGATCAAAATGGTCTTTGTCTATCTTGAGCCACAACCTTCTGAAATGCATAGATAAAAGTGAATTAGAGGCACCTCTAAAGAGGTTTTGTTGGAGGGAGATACTGCTACAGGGATAATGAATCAAACTGATAGGAAAACAACAATTATCAGCAGGAATGGGGACTTCCATTAGTGATCTAGAAATAATTTTCATAAACTTCTCAGCCAACTGTAGGGAAAAAATGCAAGAAAAGTGGAAGAAAGTACTAACATATTGCTAATGCGGCTAACTCACTAAACTACCCTAAAAAATGTTTGATATACATGAAATAGAAGCAAAAGACATATGCTTGATTTACATTCCTTTTTTCTCTATGAACAACTTAATTGCAAAGAGCTTAAGGGGAATTCAGAATATTCTTTCACTCAATACATAGTATATTCTGCTATCACACATTTTTCTATAAAATAAAAGAGCTCCTTTGTTATTGGTAAATAATGAACTATATCAACATAATTTGAACTCTGGATTGTCCTGTTGGTTCATATGATTTTTTTCCCAGCTTGTTAAAGTTTTAAAGTGATAAGGAGCAATCTTCCATTCCAATGAAAAAGAAAATCTTAGCAATGTATAAAAGCCTTAAAAAGTTGAAATGAGGGCTAAAAATCCTTACAAGTCCATCACTTTAGCACTAAAAAAAGGGGCTGGTTTAGTGAAGTCAAGAACCCTACATTTTTCAAAAGTTAAACTCTCTGCAAAGCTGCAATCAGAGCTGAAGAAGCTGTGAAGACATTTCTCCCTGTATCTCTACTCAGACATTTAACTTTTTGATGAAACTAGTGTAATTAAATGTGTTCAGTAACTCCCATCTCTTTCATTTAAGAGGCACTGTGATGATGCAAAGGTTAGCTGACTGTGATGTTTGGTGAAAAGGTTAGAGATCTCTTAATGTTGTTAATATTTTTATTAGGATTATAACTAGGGAACTAACAACAGTAATGTAAAACTACATAGATATTAAGTGCTCTGCCCAAACCTTAACTTTTTCTCCCAAAAGCTCTATTAATTTTAGTGTGCTAGTTTGCAGAATGAGTAGTTGTTCAGGCATACATGTGTCACATTCTAGAAAATTCTGCATTTTGGGTTCTCATTCTGTGTAGTCCAAGCTTCTCTGAGTGGCCTGACATCACTTGGACACTACTGATCACTCTCCATAAATTTTTTTTTAATTTTTTTTCCTGGATATAACTACCAGTTTTGAGAATGCAGTGCTGGACACGTTACTATGGGTTTTTAAAATATTATCTTATTAATCTTTAAACTTGTGAAGTACCTACTAAATTCATTTTTCTTATGAGGAAACCAAGAATTTAGAGAAGTTAAGAAACTTGCCCAAATCATCAACTTTTGCTTTTATATTTTATCATTATAACAATTAAAAAATATTTCTATCTGGTGGGTAAATTATTTCCTGATAAAATATGCCCGTCAAAGCATATTTTACTTTCCAAAGCTGCTTAAAGACACATAAGTTCTAGTTGATTTCTTATACATTATTTTATTCAAATGTTTTGGAAGTAAAGAAAGATAAATTTTAAAAAAGATGTTTCTCTGAACATATTCCAGCTGAATGACTCCTTTAGTCTTATAAAGTTATGAGATGACTAAGGAAGATAGTTCTGGTTTCCTGATTTCTTATTCAGTCAGCTCTCATACAGGGTTTAATCAACTGCATAAGCAATCAACAAAGTACAATCTTGCTAGTAAAAACTAGCAAAAGTGTCAGAGTTAGAAGATGTTTCAACTATATATAGACTTGTAAAATGGAGAAAGATTTCATTTAATTACATGTTGGACATTTATGAGGAAAGAATGTTAAGCTTAAATTAAAACATAAGGTGAATTTTTTAAAAATAAAACTACATAAAAGTTCTGCCATTAATTTCAAAACTCCAGATAGCAACTTCACTTTGGCACCCAACAGGATATTTTATGTGTCAAATGGTTATATTATTTTTATAATGCCAAGAATTTACTTTAAAATGCAGTGTGATTAAAGGTGTGCATTAGTAAAAGTGTTGTATCTACTCAAGAATCACAGACCAAGAACAATTTTGTGGGATTCTAATAATAAAGTCCATATACGTGAGGAGGGTACTAGAGGCACCTTTGTTATTTGCATGTCAATAACTGATGTCAAAAATGTGTATCTATTGGTGAAAACAGGCATGAAAACAAGCATGATGAATACTGCATATGCACTCTCATGAGTAAAATTAGAGGCATTTTAGATACACAGATTGGCTAAAGCATTTTAGAGATACTCCCTCCATTTTATGGACAGGTAATAAGAATTTAATGAGGTCTGTTTACTCTTAGAGACGATGCACTGTGCTAAATCTCCAAGTAGTTTTCTGTCTAGTTGTGACTTCTGGACAATTATAGTTGTCTGATGACATGAAAACCTGCCATTCCTACCTCAGGAATCTTTATATTTGTCAAAAGTGAAGTTTTGATATAAGCGGGTGACTGGGACACCTAAAAGGACACATAGCTGGGACTTCTTCAAGCTTATAGAACAGGTTCATGAATAATTTTATACTTGCTAGTAAATTTTTAGTTGACAACTGTGTATGTGGGAAAACCTAATCTGATAATTTACTATCATTATTTCTACAGCTTAAACTTCTTGGCGGCTACCATGATGTATCACAAAGAACTTGAGGTCTGTATAACCAGGAGCTTTAGGTCAGTTCACTGCTCCATTTTTATCCATTCTCTTCACAGTTACAGTGGAGATCACTGTAACAATGCCGTAATGAAAAAGGGCTACCATGTACTTATTTACTGATTAAACCAAATGTATCCTTCTTTTGGTTTGTTTTTGTACCTTGAGAAACAGCGTTTCCTTCAGTTTATTACATACATGAGTACATGCTCAGTCAAGTCCAACTCTTTGTGAACCTTTGGACTGTGGCCTACCAGGCCGCTCTGTCCACGGAATTTTCCAGGCAAGAATACTGAAGTGAGTTGCCATTTCCTCCTCCAGGGGATCTTCCTGACCTAGGAATGTAGGAACCCGTGTCTCCTGCATTGCAGGTGGACTCTTTACCACTGAGCCATCAGGGAAGCCCTTACTACATAAACGTAATAGCAAATCATGCTATAATAGATTCACTTAATTTATATATGGCTTTAAGTAAAGTTTTGTTAATAATTATATAAACTTTTAAAAGGAAAAATTTCCATCCTATCCTTTCCTCTTCACCCTGCAATTCCAGAAACCAGAAGAAAAAGAAGTGCTACTCCAATCTCTGGTACCTACATATTACTCATTGATCATTTCAAGCATTCCTCAAATTTG